ATGTGTCTGTTGGCCATCTGAATTTCTTCTTTGGAGAACTGCTTGTTCAGTTCCTCTGACCATTTTTTGATTGGATTATTTGCTTTTTGTTGAGGTGCGTGAGCTCTTTATATATTTTGGCTCAATCCTTTATCAGATACATCATTTATGAATATATTCTCCCATACTGTAGGATACCTTTTTGTTCTATTGGTGGTGTCCTTTGCTGTACAGAAGCTTCTCAGCTTGATAGAGTCCCACTTGTTCATCTTTGCTTTTGCTTCTCTTACCCGGGGGGATATGTTCATGAAGTTGCTCATTGTTACCTGCAAGAGATTGATGTTTTACTTTTAAGAAGTCCTGTTTATCAATTCCTTATGGGCCATGGCTTTGGCATTGTATCAAAAAGTTACTGCCATATCCAAGGTTATTTAGATTTTCTCCTACATTATCTTCTAGTTTTACAGTTTTGTATTTTATAATTAGGACTGTGATCCCTTTTGAGTTAATTTTTGTGAAAGGGTGTAAGGTCTGTGTCTAGAGCCATTTTTCTGCACATGGAAGTCCCATTGTGCCAGCACCATTTGTTGAAAAGACAATTTTTGCTCCATTATATTGCTTTTGCTCCTGTCAGAGATTAGTTGACCATGTTTATGTGGGTCTTTTCCCAGGCTCTCTACTTTGTTCCATTGGTCTATTTGTCCATTCTTTAACCAATACCATATAGTCTTGATGACTGTAGGTTTATAGTCAGCCTTGCAGTTGGGTAGTATCCTCCAAGTTTGTTCTTCAATATTACATTGACTATTCTGGGTCTTCTGGCTCTCCATATAAATTTTAGAATCAATTTGTTGATATCACCTAAAGAACTTGTGATTTTGACTGAGATTGATTGCATTGAATCCATAGACCAAGTTGGGAAGAACTGACACCATGACAATATTGAATCTTCCTGTCCACATACATGGGATATCTCTCCATGTAGTTAGTTGATGTTGTTCATCAGAGTTCTGTAGTTTTCCTCATATAGACCTGTACGTATATTGCTAGATTCACACCTTAGTATTTTTTTAAGCTAATGTAAATGGTATTGTGTTTAAATTTCAAATTCCAGTTGCCCATTGAATATTGTAAAGCCATTGACTTTTGTATATTAATTTTGTATCATGCAATCTTGCTATTATACTTACTAGTTCCAGGAGGTGGTGGCTATTTTTTCTCTTTCTTTTGGGTTTTCTGCGTAGATGATAATGTCATCTGCAAACAGTTTTATTTCTTTGTCTCCAATCTGTATGCTTTTTTTTTAAAGATAATTCTTTTTTTTGTATCATTAATATACAATCACATGAGCAACATTGTGGTTACTGGAGTCCCCCCATTATAAAGTCCCCACCACATACCCCATTACAGTCACTGTCCATCAGTATAATAAGATGCTATAGAGTCACTACTTGTCTTCTCTGTGCTATGCTGCCTTCCCTGTGGCCCCACACACATTATGTGTGCTAATCATAATGCCCCTTATTCCCCTTCTCTCTCCCTTCCCACCCACCCTCCAAGTCACTTTCCTTTTGGCAACTGTTAATCCACTCTTGGGTTCTGTGATTCTGCTGCTGTTTTGTTCCCTCAGTTTTTGCTTTGTTCTTATACTCCACAGATGAGTGAAATCATTTGATACTTGTCTTTCTCCGCCTGGCTTATTTCACTGAGTATAATACCCTTTAGCTCCATCCATGTTGTTGCAAATGGTAGGATTTGTTTTCTTCTTATGGCTGAATAATATTCCATTGTGTATATGTACCACATCTTCTTTATCCATTCATCTACTGATGGACACTTAGGTTGCTTGCATTTCTTGGCTATTGTAAATAGTGTTGTGATAATCATAGGGGTGCATATGTCTTTTTGAAACTGGGCTGCTGCATTCTTAGGGTAAATTCCTAGGAGTGGAATTCCTGGGTCAAATGGTATTTCTATCTTTAGTTTTTTGAGGAACCTCCATACTGCTTTCCACAATGGTTGAAGGAGCTTACATTCCCACCAGCAGTGTAGGAGGGTTCCCCTTTCTCTGCATCCTCGCCAGCATTTGTTGCTCCTAGTGTTTTCTATGGTGGCCATCCTAACTGGTGTGAGGTGATATCTCATTGTGGTTTTAATTTGCATTGCCCTGATCATTAGCAATATGGAGCATCTTTTCATATGCCTGTTGGCCATCTGAATTTCTTCTTTGGAGAAGTGTCTGTTCATATCCTCCACCCATTTTTTAATAGGATTATTTGCTTTTTGGGTGTTGAGATGTGTGAGTTCTTCATGTATTTTGGATGTTAACCCCTTGTCAGATATCATTTACAAATATACTCTCCCATACTCTAGGATGCCTTTCTGTCCTGCTGATGGTGTCCTTTGCTGTACAGAAGCTTTAGAATGATGTAGTCCCATTTGTTCATTTTTTGTTTCCCTTGCCCGAGGAGATGCATTCTGGAAAAAGTTGCTCATGTTTATATTCAAGAGATTTTTGCCTACGTTTTCTTCTAAGAGTTTTATGGCTTTATGACTTACATTCAGGTCTTTGATCCATTTTGAGTTTACTTTTGTGTATGGGCTTAGACAATAATCCAGCTTCATTCTCTTTCCATGTGGCTGTCCAGTTTTGCCAACACCAGCTGATGAAGAGGCTGTCATTTCCCCATTGTATGAAAATGGCTCCTTTATCATATATTAATTGACCATATATGGTTGGGTTTATATCTGGGCTCTGTAGTCTGTTCCATTGGTCTATGGGTCTGTTCTTGTGCCAGTACTAAATTGTCTTAATTACTGTGGCTTTGTAGTAGTGCTTGAAGTCAGGGAGCCAATCTGTATGCTTTTTATTTCCTTTTTTTGTCTTAATTGTATTTAGCTAGGACTTCCAGTATGAAGCTGAAAGGGGGGACACCATCAGCAGAACAAAAAGGCATCATTTTTTTTAACTTCCTCAAATGTTACCTCTTCTCCTCCCTTCCCCCTCCCCATCTGCATCCTTGGTGGCCTTTACCAAAACTTTCAGGTCTTCCCTGGACGTCGTTTTCTCAGACTTGCTTTTTCTGACCACTGTTTTGTAAGTGTAGCCTCTCTCAAATTCACTTTCTTTCCTGGCTTTATCTTTCTTTACAACAGCTGCCATCAGCTAAGCTAACATACCAAACATTTTCCTTATTGTGCTTGTTGTCTGCTCCTAAACCTTCACTACAACATAAGTTCTGCAAAGGCAGGGATCTTGTTTTGTTTGCCTTTTTCCTCTGTGCCTGGCACATAGTGGGTGTTCAATAAATAGTTGCTAAAATAGATTAATTATATTGTTATGGCATAAATGTAGTTCAGGTTATGTGGGATTTTATCTGAAATTTTCTTCTGCTTTCTGAGGTAATAATTCTTCTGATGTGTATGCTTCACCTGCCTTTTTCATGTGTATGTGTTCTTAAGTCCAGCGCTAGTTTTTTTCCTATTATGAAACACCTGTGAATGGAGACAATTCCATCTGAACTAGGTACTTAGGGAGAAGTATGAGCTAGATAGTGGCAGTATGAGCTGGGGGCATCTGGTGGCTTTTGAGTAGTATGTGGCAGGTTAGCTGTGTCCTCTGCCCTGTGGGCCCTTGTCCCCTATGGATCAGCAGGAATTATGGTGAAGTGCACATGTCACAGGTGACTTAGTGTCTATGAATATCTGGTGAACAGCCATGAGCCGAATGCCCCTGTGTATCCCTTCTGGCAGGGAGATTTCTAGAATCTTCTTGGGCAGGTTGTCCATCTGGATCCTGCAACTGAAATCCTTCCTGCTGCCCTGTGTTCATAGTGAGGTATGACATGAGGATACAATTTGGGTAAGTTTCATGAGGACAGTTTGGGCTGCTGAACACAGGTACTGCTTCCCTAGTGAATGTCAGTGAGGGAGTATTACTTAATTAGGGCCCCAGAGATGTCCATGCCCTAATCCCTGGAACCTGCAACTGTCATATTACATGTAAAAGGGACGTAAAAGGGACTTTGCCAACGTGATCAAGCAAAGGATGTTGACTGAGGTGGGAGATTATCCTGGGTTGTCTGGAGGGGCCCAGTGCAATCACAGGGCTCCTTGTAGGAGGCAGGTGGGAGAGTCAGAGCCACGGATGAAATGTGACGATGGAAGCAGAGGTGGGCAGAGGGGGGTGAGGGGAGATGGTGAGATGGGTATGCAGATGGTAAGCAGCTGACTCTGCAGACCGAGGAGGACACATGAGCCTGGAAAGCCAGGCAGCCTCTAGAAGCTCGAAAAGGAAGGAAGCAGACCCGGTCCTAAAGCCTCCCTCCTGTGGAAGCCCTAATTTTAGGACCTCTGTCCTCCAGACGTGCAAATCCCATCATGTCTGTGGGAATCCGTCACAGCAGCTACAGAGAGGTCACACGGGCAGGCACCAGCCTTCCCCTGTAGAACCCCCAAGGAGGAGCTGACCCAGCCTCCGGCCAGAGCTCTCCCAGGGGGCTCCTAACCCTGACCTGCAGCCACACGAACGCAGGTCCAGCAAGGACACCCTCCCCTCACCACATGGCTTACCCCAGTGCGAGCTGGGTTTTCTGTCTCTGGCAACTGAGTCCTGACACCCCTGGCCTCCCGGTCTGGTGCAGGATGCTGCCAACCAGGATGCCGGGTGCTCCTTCTCCCTTGAGGAGGAGGAGGTGGGATGGACGTCAAGTTCAGTTTCTAAATGAAGGGGCCTGCTTGCAGGTTGGGGGCCCTGCGCTGACCATTACGGGTGCCACAGGCACAGGGTGGTGAGGCAGGTCTGCAGCCTTCCCTCCAGGCCTCAACACAGGCTCAAAGGCACAGGCAAGAAGGGGCATGTGGCTGTGGGGTGTGAAGGGTGGGCTCAGCATGGTGGCTGCAGCTGCAGGGCAGGAAAAGGACATCAAGCGCAGGGACAGAGCCAGGGCCACCCACAGTGCGGATGCTTTGGCCACCGAGGCTGGTCTCTGCCCTCCCAACAGAACCACGCGGAGGGTGAGTCAGAACTAAAAAAATACTTCATTTCACTCTGAATAAAAAACGGGACAGACAGACTCTTGGAAATCCTGAAAACAATGTCATCGCTACTGCAAAATTTCACAGAAATCATCGCACAGAGTGTGGGACCAAGCTGGGCCCCGACTGTGAAGGCTGCCTCTCTGGGCAGGGGCACAGAGGGCCAGAGAGGGGCAGGCACAGGAGGTGGCTGTGCCCCATCACGAGTCCCCGGGCACCCTGGCCTCCAGCCACCACCACAGGACTGTGCCAGGGCCGGGTCGCCTGGTCCTCAGGGTCGCTCCTTACGGGGGCCCTTCTGACTGCGTGTGCCCCACATGCCCCTCTTGGAGTGGTAGAAATGGTAGAAGTGACGCAGTCGGAGCCGCTCCACCTCCAGCCCTGCCTGCAGGACCCTGGGGGCAGAGGGGGTGTCAGGAACCTGGGCCTGTAGGGCCTTAGTGAGTGGAACGGGGCTGTCCTGAGCCTACAGGTCCTGGGAACCAGGTGGGGTGGGATGGAAGTGGTCAGGACCCTGGTCCAGGGGCTCAGGGTGTCAGGACAGGGCCTCTACTGCTGTAGTACCCCAGTGGGAGGATGGGGACTCAGGGCCACCATCAGACTGCCAGGATGTGGGGCAGAATTGGTTTAAAGGCGGTGCCTGAGTCTGCAGGACCCTGGGGGTGGGAAGGGGTTTCAGGGAGAGAGGTGGGCTCTAATCCTGGGAGACAGACGACAGCCTCCCCTCAGCATGTGACAGCTGTGGGTCCCCCCTCCCCACTCAGAGGAGGATCCGGAAGGGTCCCGGGCTCTGCAGGGTGGGGAGGCATCACCTGTCCAGGAGCTCCCAGTCCTCGCCCCCCCACTGGTCCCGGAACTCCTCAGTGTTCATGCCTCCAATGCGGTCAAAGTCAGACTTGTAGATCCCAAAGAGGCCGAAGCCATTCACCTCCCAGTAACCTGGGGTGGGGAAGGGGTGCCCTTCAAACACCAGGTCCTGCCAGCCTTCCTCCTCAACCTCAGGAGGGGGTCTGACAGAGCCCCATCACCAGGGGCCTCTCAGAGGGGCCACTGAGTCAGCCTGAGTGGGCACTGGAGACTGTGGCTAGTTTGGCCATGACCCTGGGGGCACTGCACATCACAGGGGGCATTGATCGGGTCCCAGGTCTACCTTGGGGGTTGAGAGCGGCCTGTAGGGGGCCTAGATTTTACCCTGGCGCTGGTGGGCCTCCTGGCATTACTGGGGGGTGTGTAGGGTGTTACCGTGCGGGTCCCCCGGCGAGCTCCCGCAGCCCAGGCGCATGACCACAGGCGCGAAGGCCAGCCTGCCCTCCACGCAGTGCTTGCGGATGCCGTCCAGGATATTGGCGGGGAAGTGGATGTGCAGGTCACAGAGGAAAACGATGCTGCTGGCGTCCTGGAGGCCAGAGGGAGGTCTGAATCCCATCCTCTCCTGGCGAAGGTGAGTTCCTCCCTTGCCCTAGAACAGTCGCTCTCCACGCGCGCATCTCGCCCACGCACCTCCACCGCGTCCACTCCAGCTTGCAAGCCAGCGGAGCGCTCAAAGTTTCCTGTTCGCCTCAGGTATTGGTACCTGTGAGGGTAATAGAGGGTGGCAGTCACAGGCACCGATCGCTGGGCTCGGGGACAGGAAAACCCACCTCCTGCGAGGGAAGATGCGCTTCCTGGTCGGGGCGGGGTGGAGGGCGCCCTTACCGGGGCAACCGTGCCGCCCGCAGGGCCCGCTCCACGTCCATATCCTCGCTCTCAAAGTCCACCAGGATGACGCTGAAGTGCGAGTCTCCTGTGCTGGCGTGCAGCTCGGCCATGTCCGCCAGGAACTGGGCCACCCAGCGCGCCTGGTTCTTCACTGGAGGAGGATGGGGCCATTGAGCCCACCCGACCTGACTTTGTGGTACCCGGTCTGGGGCCAGTGGCGCTCCCGCCCTTTCCCATGAGGACTCCCAGAGCCCTCCACCCCGTCCCAGGTCCCCGGAGCTCCCGCGCACCTGGCACGATGAAGTGAACCATCACATCTTGGCGCCAGGCCAGGCGCAGTGGCCGGCAGAGCTCTGGATGTCCGTCGGGGCGCTCGGGGGTGGCGGGAGTAGGCTCAGGGCTCTCTCCGTCGCCGTCCCCGGCTCGGGGTCCTGGCAGTCGCAGGAAGACGTACTCGGACAGGCGCAGGCGGCTGCCTCCGCGCTCCTGCAGCTCCAGCTCGAGGAGAAAGCGGCTCCCGCGGGTTGAGTCCCTGCGCTTCTCCACATTCACGATACGCAGAAGCGAGTAGCGCCTGGGAGGTGAGGCAAGTCAGCCCTCCTGGGCCTCGAGCCTGCACCTCCTGCCCCAAACCCAGACACGAGTCGGCCACCCTGCCGACTGGAGGTCAGTGGGGTAGGGAGGAAGCCGCTGTGCTTCCCCTTCCTCCCAGGCTCCCGGGTGTGTCCCACCACACCTCGTGCCCTGCCAGGAAGTGCCCAGAAGGCAGGTCCACATTCAGTGAGACCTCCTGCCTAGGACAGCCACACAAGGCATTGTCCCCCACCCAGGCCCATCCTTTCCTCTTTTGGGGTCTTCTTGCTGCCAGGCACGTGCAGTGATGGTTCTGACATACTCAGAAACCCTTAAGACCACCCACTGCCTATTACAGGCTCGGCTGTCTTAGTGGCATTCTAGGACCTTAAGCAGGCTCTGCCCTGTGTCCTTCAAGACACCCCCTGCTGGGCAAGCGGACTTCTTCCTGGGGTCTCCCCTCTGGCGTACTCTCCACAGTCCTCCCGGGTTCCTCTCTGGGGCCCTGGTGGCTCCTCTGGGAAGCCACCCTTCTGCCTCCCCTGGCAAGCCCAGGGACTGCCTTGACCTTGAGGGGAGAAGCTGCAGGGCCTGCCCTGAGCCTCTCTGGCCGCCCTGCTCTGGCCCCGCCGAGTACCTTCTTCTCCCCTCCACTCTGCCCTCAACAGAGGCTTCGCCTCATCTTTGGAAAATAGGATCCTGCCCTTGACTAAGGATGCCTCTTCCTTCCGCCCCAGGCCCTCCCTTTGCAGGCAGTACCCCTCAACCTGGGCGCCGCGTGACCTTCCAGGGGGCTTGACTCCTCCCTTCAACCCCTGCCTGCTCTGCTGGAGCATCAGGGACTTCCTGCCATAAACGCTCTGGGTCTGTCTACAGTCTTGCTCCTTGGGGCTACCCACACCCTTGCACTGCTTGGGAAGAGACGGGACACAGCCATGACCACTCTGTTGGACGGACCCCCTTGTGCTCATAGGCAAAGGAAACTTAGAGCCAAGAGCAGGCTCGCCCTCCTGGCCACCTAGAATCAAATCCAACCTCACTGCCCTGGACAAAGGGCCTCCCACCTGTCCCACCCAAGCCCGACGCCATGCATTTCCCTCCAGGGCAGTCACATGCCGGTCTGCAACCCGAACCTGTCCTACTCAAAACCTTGTATCACAGGCAAGAAAAGTGAGTAGTGAGTCCTGAGCCTGGCTTTCAAGACCTGCGATGGTCCCTTCTCCATTCTCTGCTCACCAGATCCCTGGCCTTTGCCTGTCATTGCTGTCTACAGATTCTGCACCTCCTTCAAGGCACAACATGACTCTTGAGAACACCCCAGTGCCTTCCCTGAGGCCAGACTGGGGCTGCCACTCTCCACCCCACTACCTGCATGGGGTGGAGATGGGACTGGATTCCTGGAGCCTCGGGGAGACCAGAGGGGCAATGATGCAGGGACCCTGTGCCCTCCCCTGAAGTCTGGAGGAGAGCCCTCTTGGAAGACCAGCAGCGCTGTGCCAGGGGAGGAGGAAGGGTGCAGGAGCTCTAAGCTCGAACTGCGGGTGTGTTATCTGGAGGACAGACCTGGGCTGCTGATCCCTGGGTCCAGGTGACAGGGCGGGGCAGGTGCTGGACAGAAGGGCTAAGCCCTGGGTGGGTTGTGGGGGCTGGTAAGCTTCCTAACAGGGGCCCTGGGCAGTAAGGAGCCCCAGAAAGGAGACAGTTCCCCAGGGAGGGGGCATGCATGCTGCTCCCAGATAAATGTCTTTCAGGCCCTGGGGAAGGTCTGAGGGTCCCATGGAGGCCAGGACTGCTTTACTGCTGCTTGCCCCTCCCCTATACCCGCCATGGCGCGCGTGGAGCTGCTCCATATACTGGGCCACTACGTCCACGGCCTCGGCCTCTGGCAGCTGCAGATTCCCGGACACGTTGCAGCGCAGGTCGTTCCAGTCCGAGCGCAGCAGCTCGAAGTCTATGGCGCCCACGCTGAATGTGCGCTGCCAGTCAATGGCATCCTCACGCCAGCGGCCGAGGGCGGGGCCGGCAGCCTCCTCGCTGTCCTGGGCGGCCTCGTCATCCCCTTCCTCCTCCTCCTCACCTTCCCCAGGTAGCTGTGGCCTGGACACCTGGGACAGGCTCAGGAAGGAGGTCACAGGCCGCGCTTCGGACGATGAGTTTGGGTCCACTGTGGGTGCCACGAGTCCAGGTGCACGTGCTTGGCCCTCCCGGCTCCCGGGGGCGGCCTGTGCCCGGCCTGTGGAACTCAGCTCTGTGGCCTGGGGACTGCCAGTCTTCCGGCTTCGGGACTGCGGCAGGCGTGGGGGTGCCCGTAGCTGCACCCTGCGCAGAGGTCTGGGGTGCAGGAAGATGCCGGGGAAGGGCGGCCAGGGTGGGCCGCGTGGCCTGAGCGGTGCCAGAGCTCGCGGGAGCGCCCGTAGGCCAGGACGTACCCGCGTCACATACACCTTCGGGGACTGCTGCTCAGCTGCGGCGCGGGGCGGCGGGGCACGGCCCAAGAAGAGGGGCAGCGGGTGCGCGGCCCGGGCGGCCCAGCTCAGTGCCCGGGAGCGCCTGGGGGTCGCCTGGCCCTGGGGGCTGGGAGGAGTCGGAGAGGTGCGCGCAGGTCCAGCCTCGGTGGTAGGAAAGGGGAGGCCACCTCGTGGGGGGCGCGCCTCGGTGGGCTCCAGACTGTCCAGCAGCTCTGCGTCATCCTCGTCGTCCAGGAAGTCTGCGGGGAGTACGGCTGAGCCTGCCACGCCTAGCGGGGGGCGCGCTGGGGCGCGCTGGAGGATAGGGGCACTTAGAATCCACAAGGAGGGCGCAGGCTGCGGTGCGGGGGGCACTCACCGTCCGCACTGAGGAAGAGGAAGGCTCGACGCTGCACCTCCTCCTCGTCACCTCCCTCACCCTCCTGCCGGTCCATCTTCATATATTTGTAGAACCCAAACCTGGGACGGGGCGGGGGCGGGGGATCAGAGCTCCCGCCTCGCAGAGGCCCCGCCCCCTCCTGTGTGGTGGCCCTGCCCACCCACCTTTCCAGGTACAGCGGGGACTCGCGGTAGAAGCACTTGTTGTCGGTCTCCATGTGGGTGAGGCGCGTGTGGTCATTGGGGTAGACGAAGGACAGGTACACCTGGGGGCAGGCGGGGTCAGGGGCGGAGGGGCTCCGGGCACCCTGGGGCAGGCGGGGCTCAGGCAAGGTCTGGGAGGGGCACTCACAAACTGCAGCCCCTGGTATCTCGCGATGGGGAAGTCCTTGACCACGTAGGTGGGGGCGTAGGCACAGGGCTCCAGCACGTCCTCCAGACGCGAAGGCTCCACGCGGGGAGCTGTGGGAGAGGTGCTCACGCTGCGGCCGCCTGGAACGCCGCCCCGCCCTCACCCCCACCCCCACCGGCCCCTGCTCACTGAGGAAGAAGGTGTCTCTGGGGTCGGGTCGGAGCATGTCTGCTCTGGGCTCCTCCTGGGGCAAGCGCCCCACCACATGGCTGGCTGGAGACTGGGGGACATGGGCCACATGGTCCATCTTCAGGGCCGACTCATCTGGGGGCAGAAGGCTGTGTGGAGTCCCCAGGAATGCCCAGAGACCCCTCCCCAATTCTCCCCACCCACATCCAGGGACCATCCCAAAAAGACCACCATCAGGAGCCTGCCCCACTCCCCAAAGAGATACTGGGGTTCGCACCTGTGTACAGGGAGATGTGAGCTGAGTCTATGACCTCGAACTTGAGGCCCGGCAGGAAGGCACGCCACTGGGGGAGGGAGATGGTGGTCAAGGCCAAGACTGGCGGGTCACGGTGGGAACCCGGCTGAGACAGCAAGGAGTAGGCGTTCCATGACTAGGAGGAGGACTAATGGGGGCAACCCCTCCAAGGGTCAGGAATATCGGAGGGTGGGTGGTGGTGGAGGGGTCCGGGTAAGGGGCAGCAGGCAAGCTGGGGGAGGCCTAGAAGGCGAGGATCTCTGGTGGCAGGTAAGGACTCCCCCATGCTACCTGCAGGCCTGCACATCCTGAGGTTCCTTGCCTGCTGGTTAGGGCTCCCTGGGTCCTCAGCCACTGCTCCCCTGGAAGTCACAGCTAGCCTTCTAGGGCTACACCCAGCACCCCACCTTGTCCCACTGGACCTCCCCCCAAACCCCCCGCTCCTGTGGCTGCCCCTTCTTAGTCTCCTTTGTAGACTCTGTCTCTCCCCTACCCCACTCAAGTTGGGGTTCCTGGGGGCTGTCTCAGGCCTGCTTTTCTCCCCAGCTCATTTGGGCCCTCTCAGACCCTCAGCTTCTATAAGATTCCCCAAAACCCATGTCCCCAGCCAGGACCCTCCAAGCTGAGTTGGGGTGATGCCCACCACACACCAGATATGTGCAATATTCCACAGAGCTAGGGCTGGGAGCTCCCAGCCCACCCTGGTCCCCACTGACACCCAGCCAGGCTCAGGCCCTCTGTTCTGTGGTGCAACACCCTCCTACCCCAATCTTTCCACACAGTGGCCGGAAGGTTTTTCCTGAAAGGCAGATCCAGTTGTCTCAGTGATTCCAGGACAAAGCCAGAGCTGCCCAGGGTGACACTGCAGGGCCCACCTGACTGGGCCACCAGACGCCCCTCGGAGTTCCAAAAAACTAATGGGTGGTTCTATTCCTCTGCTGTTCTTGAGATGAAGTCACCCGATGCACCCCCACCCTAAATTCCCTCTGCCCTGGCTCTCTCTGTGAATATCTTTGACCTCCCAAGACCACTCAAGGGCGACCTCCTCCATGAAGCCTCCCCGAGCCAGCAGCGTGGACTGCAGCCCCGTCCCTGAGCACCTGCTTTGGCAACTAGACTGGAAGCTCCTTGGGGGCAGGGTCCCCACCACTGTCCTGAGGGGAGTGGTTGGAAGAGGCACGGCAGGGGAGGCGGGGTCTCCAGAAGGCCCTAGGCAAGCCAGCCACACTCACGCCCACTTCCACGTGGTCAGAGCCTCGGTCATCCTGTTTGTGCAGCAGCTCAAAGTAGTACTTCCGGGAGGCTGTGAGCCTGGGGACACAAGGAGTCAGGGGATGTGCCCTCCCCACACCAGGGACCCCAAACAGATGTGGAGCCCAGAGGGGATCAGGTCTGGCCCCTCAAAGGAGACGCTTTGGCCAGGACAGCACAGGTTCAGTGGTTCTGTGTATGGATTGTGTTCCCCTCAGACATACAAAGATACACAGTTGTGTGCACACATGGACACACTTGTGCACATATGGATAATACTCATGCACACTCCCACTTACCGCCTGGGCTTGGACACCTGGGAGCTGAACTTGGTGAATTCTCCAGGTGCCGTCCACTCCAAGCCAGTCTGGGGGGCAACACAGAAGGGTAGTGGGGGTTCACCCTCTCCTTGAGGGTACCAGCCCCATCCAGTCTCCATCCCTAAGAAGCTGAAGGGCGCAGGTGACAGAGGCCTCAGGAGGCCCCATGCAGACAGATTGGGGTGGGGGCCAGAGCCAGGGTCAGGGCTGCTGGGGGGTTACCTTGCCCACAAAGGCCACCAGCTGGGCACCCGCTGGGCTCTCATTTGGGCTCAGCCAGAACTCAGAGTTGTCATCTGATGCCACAGAGAACTGGACATCTCCTAGGCCACAGGACAGGGGTTCAGAGGGTGTGGGGCTGTTGCCCACACCCCCTCCCCGGCACGTCCTCACATGCACACCATCTCTTGCTGGGTGGATGAAGCCAAAAATCCGAAGTCCATAGTTCTTCCACTTGGGGGACACAGCCAACTTCTTCACAGTGGTGCGAGTCTAGAGTGGAGGTGACCTCTCCTGTCAAGGCCCACTGTGCGCCAGGCCTGCCCTGCAGGGCCGGCCCTGCCCGCTCCCAGCACTCACATGAGGGAACAGTGGGAAGTGCAGGTTCCTCCTCAGCTGGCCCACGGCGCCCCCACACCAGTCCTCAAACACGTGCAGGTTCGCCTGCCCCTTGTACTGTGGGAAGGGAGGGAGCCTTAACTTCTGCACACCCCTAACCCAGGCCGCTCCCCAAGCCCATCACTGCCCGGCAGCACTCACCTCTTCCTGCCATGGGGGTGCCTGATGGGTGAGGTTCAGTGGGGGTGGCCTCCCAGCCCCTCCAGGAAACAGCATGCTTGGGTCCCAACCTTCAGGCTACAGGAAAGAAAGGGGACCAGGGTCAAAGCTGAGAAATATAGGGCAGGGAGGGGTCATACCACCACACACACACTCGCCACATGCACTTGATCCATGATATGCACCGGGACATAACACACAGAGGCTTGTAGCATGACACGCGGCCCCATCACAGCCCAGCCACACACCTAGAAGACCCTCAGCACACCGGCCCCAGCAGACCCTGGGTCATGGGGTGTCCTGGGCTGCACATGCGCTCCTTCCCCCTCCTGCTTATCACCTGCTCCTCCTCACGGCTCTCACTAGAGTCCTCCGCCCTCCGCGTGGACAGTGCAGCCTGGACACCCCGGCCATCAGTCACACCGCTCAGCTTCTCACCGTCTGTGGGCGGCACGTGGGGCTTGGCTGCGGCTCAGCTGTCTCCAAGGCCCCAGGCCCTGCTGCTGGGTCAGCTGGGGGCAGGGACCCCCTATCCACATGGTAATTGTGCACACACAGGCTGGAGCAGGGAGGGAAGGCCAGTGGTGTCTCCCACAGGGGCCTCTGCTGCCTCACGCTAGGGATGCCCCTCCTTATAGCTTGACAAGTGCTTTCTGCTGGGCCCTTGTCCCATAGCCCACTTCGGTGGGGAGGGGCAGCCCCCACCCAAGCCCTCCACTTGGCTTTCCCCAGATCCTTGGCTTGTGTGAGGGAACACATGCTAGTACATGTGTGCTTACATGCATCTATCTGGCCATCCTCATCAGTGGCTCCACCTCCAGGAAGGCCCCCAGGACTCCCGTGACCTCTGTTTTTTGTGTCTTGCCTCTCTTATCAGAACTGAGAGCTAAGGCTTGGTGCTGGAGCTTGCTGCTGGGAAAACTGGTGCTACTGTCTGTGACTAAGCCAGCCCCGGCCTATGGCACACCAGCCATCTCTGCCCTTGAGGCTGGGGCTCAGGACCAAAACAGCCCTGGCACCAGCCTGGCTAGAGGAGGGATAGGTGGTCCGGCTGCTGGAGGACCTGGAGCCGGGCAGCCCTGGAGGGAACTGTCCCTGGGGAACCCTTCCCAGGACTGTCTGTGGACATCTCCGGAGCTTGGTGCCTCCCAAAACCCCTGGCCCAGGGCAGACCATCTCCATACTCCAGACGCCCTCAACTTCCCAGACCTCCCTAAGCTGTGCACCTGAATGTCCCACTCTGTCCTTGGGGAGTTCTACATCCCAAGATCTGAGCATCTGAAGAGGAGGCTTCATTGTACCCCACTTCTGCCCCTCCTGGTGCTCCCACCAAGGGACACCCCATCCAGGAGTCCCCCCTCTGCTCCAGGGCCAAGCCTGGGCTTCAATATCCATGCCCATCCCTCAATTCAGGCTCCAGGAGTGAGATTCCTGTATGGACACAATAAGCCTGGGTCTCTTCTTGGGATGGGGGGCTACTCATGTTCTCCTGCCTGTGGGACCCCTGCAGGGCCACCGTCCTGCTCCTCATTTGTGTTCTTCCCCCACAGTCCTCTGTCCAGCTGGAAGGCGAGTCCCAGCCAAATCCCCACAGCCTGGCCCTGATATTTCCAGACCACCAAGCTAAATCCATGGGTGTCAGGAGCCTGCAGTGAGGTCCCAGCCCAGGCTGCCCCCACGGCCCTGCGGGGGCTGAGCCCCAGAACAGCTCGGTGCTGACAGGCCTCCTGTCTTCTGGCTCACGTTCCCTCAGGGATCTCTGCCTATACAGGCTGCTGGACACTGGGAAGGTAGCCCTCTTGCCCCGCCCCAATGCCACCCCCTTGGCAGAAGTAATGACTGTGCTCCCCAACCGTTCAGAAGGCCTCATGTGGGAGCTCAGGTGGCTGAACAGGAGGTGGGGCTGCAGCCCAGAGCCAAGACCCCTGGGCGAGGGCAGCTCCTGGAAGGTGCCAGAAAGCGGTTTTGTCTCCCAGGACCCTGAACAGCTCCTGCTCACCCAGGAGTAGGCAGGGGAGGATGACTAGTCTCCCAGCCTCCTCACTGGCCTGAGAGCAGAGGGAGCCTCAGAATTAGAGTTCCCACACCTCTGCCCCCTCCTAGTTGCTGAGCTAGACTCCCTGGCTGCTCAGGAAGTGAGGTTGGGGATGACTGTGGTCACTCAGAAAGCCACAGAGACAGCTGAGAGGCCTGGCTTTGTCCCGTGACACTGGGTCACACTCTAGGTCCTGCCTTGTTTGCTGATGACGGGGGGCCTCTTTCAGAGATGGAACAGAGCTGAAGCCTCTCCAGGGTGTGGTGGCTGTGAGGTGTGTGGACTCCGGCAGGGCAGGGTCAAGCTCCAGACCCGGCCCTGGTGGTCTGTGGGGCCAGGTGTCCAGGTACAGGAAGGAGAGGTAAGAGGGACTTTGGCAAGTGGGAGAAAGGAGTGGGACTGAACAGGGAGGTCTGTCGCCCTGGCGGAGTGGCCCAGGATGTGTGGTTGTCATTGCTCTGAGCCTTTGGGAAGCAGATCCTCCCCACGCCCCATCCCAAGGACACCCAGCACCACACTTGCTTGAGAAGAGTCAGGGGCAGCCTCGCTGGGCTCTTCCCTGCCCTGAGATGTTTCCCTCTCATACCCCCACTTATGGCTTTCTACCCTTCTCCTCTCACCAGATTTCCATCAGTCCTTCTGTCTTTCCCTCAAATGTGTCAAAGGTCACTGCCTCCAAGAGGCCCGCCAGGATCCCCCCAGCCAAAGGGGTAGGAGCTCCCCCCTGGTCCTTCCCAGCAGTGCTCACCCGGACCTGATTTGCTGTGTGTGTTCACTGGCCTCACTGGAGGAGCCTGGGAGGGCTCACTCCAGACAGTCCAGGGCTCCCCGGGCTGGATCGCCATCACCATGCCTTGCTCCCCTGACACACAAGCATCTCAGTCCTTGATAGCAGGGCTACCTAAGGCATCCGGTCCACGGAGCGTGGATCAGCTCTCCCCAACCTTCTTCCTCCCCTCCTCCCCAGCAGATGGGGAAACTGAGGCTCTGCTGGGTAGGAGATGGTGGAGGCGCAGCCCGGATGTGGCCTCTTGGGAATCCCAGCACGCAAGGCCTGGGGGCACAGGTGTCTCCGGGAGTCCACGGTTACCCTGTCACTGCCAGAGCCCGACCGCATCCCCGGGCCGGCCTAGGTTCGGGGACGCTCCACGAGAGGGTCGCGCGCGTCACCGCTGACGTCACCGGGCGTCCGGGCCCGGCCGAACCGCGCCCCCTGCCCCAGTTGCGAGCCGGGAAGGGCGGCCGGGGTCCCTGGGCGAGTCTGAGCCCACGCCAGGGCCCGGCGCTGCTCAGAGCCCTCACCGCCCCCGGCCCCGGCGCGCGCCTCCCGTACCTCGCCCGTAGCCCAGGCGCTGGCGCAGCGCGCGGCCCTGGCGCACCAGGCTCAGGTGCACGTACGTGAGCCACGCGGCGCAGGTGAGGAGTACCAGCAGGAGCAGCAGCTTGATCTGCTTGCGGATCTTCTTCACCGGGAACCACGGCATCGCGGCCGCCCCGCCCGCCCGGGCCGCGCCCAGCGGCGCCGCTACGGCCCCCTGTTCCCGCGCGCCCCGCGCCGCGGCCCCCAGCCCCGCATGGCCTTTGTCCACCGCTCGCGGCCACCGGGCGCGGCCGCGAACCCCGGCTGCGCCCGGCCCCGGCCCGGGATGGGCGGCGAGCGGCTCCCGGCGGCGCCCAGCGCCGGCCCCGCCCGGCCGCTCGGGCTCCGTGCTCCCGGGGCCGCGGCCGGACGAGCCGAGCCACGCTGCGGCGCTACCCACCGTGAACGGGCCGGGGCCGAGGCGCCAGCCAATCGGGGCCCGGCCAGCTCCCGGGCAGCCAATCCACGGCTCGGGGCGCGGCTGGCGTGTTCGGGTGTGCCCGCCACTCGTCTCCACGCAACGCGCGCGCATCCACCTGGGCGCGCCGGCCCGCGCAGCGCGGGGACGCGGAGACAGAAGCACCGAGGGATGCGCCGACGCAGCTGGCGGGGAATGGGAGCTACAGCGCGAGGGCGCGGGGACGGGGAGGTATGGGGACAGAGGACTGCGGCTTGGGGACTGGAGATGCGGGGGATGGGGAAGGCTGAGATGGAGGTTAGGCGGTCCACGGGACACAGGGAGGTGTAGGGGAACAGAGGACCGGGGACAGGGGTCTAGTGGGTATGCGGAGTTCTGGGGACCAGACGGGGGATATGGGGAGTTGAGGAGGACGGGTGGAAGGACGCAAGGATGGGGTGGTGCTGAGAGACTTAGGGATAGGGATACAGGGACCTCGGGTTGCTCTGAGGATGGATGGGGAGAGGTCTGGTCTTGAAAGAGGGGACATCAAGAGAGAGAGAGAGGTGCAGAGGACTGTGGACAGAGGGCCAGGGACCAGGGTGTGTAGGGATGGAGGTGGCAGAACTCACAGACTATCAGGGGGCCAGGGTGTGGGGATCAACAGGTTCCATGGAGGTGAGGCTGAGGAGGGTCCCAAAGCACATGGCTTCACCCGGAAGGGGGTGAGGAGCCACCAAAGGACCTTAACTTAGAAGGTCTTACGTGGCTGCCTAGTGGACAGGGGCCTCTGAGGGTCAGGTGCTCCCACTGAGGGCAGAGTGGGAGGCAGGGAGACCACGGAGTGGGTCCATGGTGGTGCTGTTGCTGAGCTGGGTGTGGGGGTGTGGGTTCATCATGGACTTTCCCAATTGGTTCCATGCTTGCCTCTCTCCCCCAGTCCTCCTCTGCCCAGCTGCCAGCCCAGCTTTCCCCTTTAACCCTCCTGTCAGCTGCTCCGCTTTTTCTATTGCTGTGTAACAGATCCCCAGTTGTGGGGTGTAAAACAACTGCTGATTATGTTCACGGATTCTGTGGGTCACGAATACGGACAGGGCCCAACAGGACAGGCTTTCTCTGCTCCTGTTGTCGCAGGCCCTGGGTGCCTTAGTGGGGATGGCTGGGTTCAGCCATGATGGTCAGTCAGAGCACCTGGATATGGCCACTCTAGGGGATGGCCTTTGGGCTCCAGCAAGCAGAGCAAAGTACCTGGTGAAGCGCCGCATACCAACTTTGCCACATGCTGTCATATGCCACCCAGGTATGAGAGGAGGGGTTTCACAATTTTGAGTGATGTTTAATATTCAGCTTTTGGTAGGTGATCCTGACCTCTTCCATTCCCAGATTGTTGAGTTTTAATGAGTGGGTGTTGGATTTTGTCAAATGCTTTTTCTGCAACCATAAGAGCTTATTATTTTTCTTTCCTTACACGTATATGTGATAGATCACACTGATTGATTTTTTAAATGTTGAATCACACTTGCACCCCTGGAATAAATCCCACTTGGTGGTGTGTAAATTCATTGTTGGATTGGATTTTCCAGTATTCTGTTGAGGATTTGTTCGTGACAGATGTGGGCCTGTAGTTTTCCTTTCTTATGTCACTATCTGGTTTTGAGTTAGTGCCACTGTCAGGCCCTTAGAAAGGAAACTAAGGGTCACCTGAGATGTGACCTTTACTCCCTCTGGGACTCAGAGCCTAAGTCAGGGACCTGGGCGCACGGCAGAGGTCAGCACTGTGGGTCACCTCATCCTGCACATGGACTAATCGAGCACATTTGGGACAAATGAGGTGTGACCCCAGCCCGTCAGCGTGTCTGTCTGACGTGTACAGGGTGGCCCCCTCTGCGACAGTTGGCGCAGCTGAGGGTAGCACTGCTTAGAGGCAGTCGGCAGCCGTGAGTCCTGCACATCTTTGCGAAGGGCCAGCCTGCAGGGCCAGCTGTCTGAGGCAGAGTGGTTTCTGTAGCTGTCATAGATGCCACTCGGCAAGTTAAGGGGACTGGGGTGACCACCACCAAATGCTTGCTCTGGGGGAGTGACTGGAGAGTGTGTTTGCCCCAAGGCCCTGTGGCCGCAGCTGATATGATCCACTGTGCATAGGGCCCATCTTGTCACTGGACTTGGGGGGCAGGGGCCTGGTGCTGTCGTGTGAGGCCCTTTGCTGTGATCTGGAGGGGTGCTAGCCATCCCCCACCCCCCTGCACCTGCAGAGCCGTGTGCTCCAGGCCTCTTCTGAGGCTGCATTTCTGCCTGAACAGTCACGGGCAGCTAAGCCCCTGCACGGGAAGTCAGAGGTTAGACACTCCTCTGGGGCAGCACTGGACCAGCAAAATGCTGGCCATGCCTCTGCTGCGTGCCACCTCCTGAGTCACGAGCAACCCTGCATCCAGACCTGGCCTCTGGCCACTTCCCTCTGAGACCCTCCTCTCCAGGAACACAAGCCCCTTCCTGCCTCAGGACCTTCCTGCTGTCTCCTGGCCAGATGCTTGCCCCGGCTCTGTCCTCTAGCCTTGCATCCTCGGCTCCTGCGGACCTCTCTTCCTGGGAGATTCCTTGGCTCTTTCTGCCCCTCATCCTACTTATACATCACACCCCTTCCATATGCTTTCCAGCCCTTAACCAAATTCTGAAATTCTCTCGTTTTCCTCGTTTATATGTTTGTCTTTTTCGAGCCGCACTTTAAGCTTCATGAGGACAGCCCCTGGTCCTTCCTCCCAGGGTGTCCCCAGCTCTTGGGAGGTTTAGATTTACTCCCTTTCCTGGGGGTGGGTGGCCTTAGAGAGGAATGCCAAACCAGGGCCCTAAGTGCCTCTGTGCCCCGTGCCCCGGGCCCTCTGCACCCGGCTCTGCTCTCCCTTGGCTATTAGAGAATTTGGGGCGGGGGCGGGGGGAAGTCCCAGCAGCCCTGGACGCCCGGGAGGTGGGGAACTCTGCAGACCCCTCCAGCAGACATTGGCCCTGACCCCACCCGTTCCTCCCACGCCCTC